GGTTATGGTAGAGGCCGTGGTAATAAATCAAGTAATCATAAATCTAGAGGTTATAGTAGAGATCATAATAGAGGTCATAGCGATAAATCAAAGGATAGACTTAATATCTCTCAGCTTTAATTAACTTATATTGAAGTAACCTTTTTACTTCCTAATACTATAAACCATTTTTAGCTACTTAATGTTAAGATTATTGCAATCATATTAAAAATACTTAAGCCAATTCGTGATGTTGCAACAAGGTAAAATTTAACTTATACTTATATTATATTGCAGCGTCTTGTATCTCTTAAAAATGCTATATACTCATTAGTAGCAATTTTAAAAATAATTCAATTTATACAGTTCAAAATGATGGAATTAAATTGGAAGCTTTATTATTGGATAATAATAAATGGTCTGTATTACAAGATTTATTAAATTTATTAAAACCTTTTGCTCAAATTACAGATATTATTAGTGGAAGTCAATATCCAATATTAAGTATGATATACCCAGTATTAATCAAACTTAAAAACCATCTTATTAATTTTAAGACTCATGCTAATCAAGTAGCACTAATAATAATTCAAACAAGTGATTGTATTGAATAACAAATAATAACCTATTGACAAAATATTTTGCAAATGGGTTTTTTTGCTTCATATTTTGATCCTCATTTTAAAAATATAAAGTTTATAAATAATGAACAAAATTATCAATTTTAATGGAAATATAGTAATAATAATAAACTATTTATAATTATAGTTGATAAAAAAGAAAATTTTAATTTTAATCTAAAGTGTATTTTTATTATTTCACTTAATCAATTATAATTATATATATAAAATTAATTTAAAATTTAAAATTAGATAAATTTTAAAACTTCTTTAATTATATATTTTTTAATTATTTTATAAATAAAATTTAAAATTAATTATTAATTATAAAAAATAATATTAATTATATTTAAATTACAATTTCTTTATCATAAATTAATTATAATAATATTATTATTATATTAATTATAATTATTAATAATATTTAAAAATTATATTTAATTTAAATATTATAATTACCAAAACCTATATTTTACAAATTATTAATATTTGTAAATTTGATAACTTTAATAAAATTTGTATCTATTTAATATATTTTTTTATCTATTATTAGAATTTGTTTATAAATTAATTTTTAATTATCTATAAAACTATATTATTGTTATATTATTTTATTATTTTTATTATATTTATTATATCTTAGATTGTTTAATAGGTAAATTTGCCTGTAAACTTATAAAATATGTTATTTTTTTATAAAATATTAAATATTAATTTTAGTAATATAATAATTAGGCAATTTCTATTTGTATACAGGTGTATTATATATAGATTACATAATATAGTTAATATTAATATTATTTTATTAATATAAAAAAATTAAGAAATTACCTATATAATAATAATATTATAGATAAGATATGTTAAATAAGAATTTCTCACTAAAAAAATTTTAAGTTTTTAAAATTAATAGTAAAATTAAAGATGTAGAGATATAACATTAATGATCAAAATATATTATATGATATAGATATATATATCCTGTATAAATTTAGAAATTTTTTAAACAATAGTTTAATATATATTTATTAATTTTATTAAAAGAAATTTTAATTTTTAAAATTAAATTTTTAAAAAATTTTTAATAATATTTAAAATTAATTAATTAAATCATTTTTACTATTAATAAAAATTATAAAATTTCTTAATAAATCATAAAATTATAATAATTAAAGTTATTCTTTATAATAAATTTTATAATATTCTATTATAATTAATTATTAAAAAATTAATGATAAAATTTTTAATATAAAATTACAAATTTTTAGTTTATAAATAACTTAAAATTATTTATTATTTAATTAAAAATAAAAATTACTATAATATAATACATATTTATAAAATTAATTTAAAAATTTTTAAAAAAATTTTAATTTTTCATAAAAATAAATTAGAAGAAAATTTATAATAAATAAGTAGGCAAATTCATCTGCAAACCTTTACAATTTAAAGAACAGATTTATTTATATTTCATTTAAAATTTATTAACTTTTCTTTAAACTATTTCTTATTATCTATTCATCTTTTATTTTTATTATTTCATTTATGATATTAATCTTTAAAGTTATATTTAATAATACATATATATTTATTTAAAAAATTTGTTATATCAAGAGTTGATTATAATTCTCTTCTTATATTTATTTAAAAATTTTTATACTATTTTAATTTATCTTATTCTTTCATTTTATTTCTTGTTCTTTTATTATATTTTTTAATTCTTATTCTTTAGATATTTTAATTAATTATTTTAAAATTATTTTTTATTATTTATCTTTATTTTTATCTCTATAATTTTATTTTATTTCTCATTATATAATATTTTTATTATAATAAATTTTATAATTTAACTAGAAAATAGGAACTATTATTAAATTCAGAATTATTTTAATATTATAAAAGTTAATCAACATTAATTTAAGCTATAAGTAGATAAATATTAGAATACCTTTTATATCATATTATTTAGTCTTATATAGTCTTTTGCTTTGCTTTGAACTAATAATAATTAAAGATTAATATTTTAACTAATATCACTTATTAATTTTACATTTAAAGAAATTGTTAATGTTGATATTATTAAGCTTAATATATTATTAATAAAGAAATAATTATATTTTATTATTATGAAATCTTATTTATTATAAGTTATAATTACAAGTTTAATTTTATAAAATAAAAAAACTAATTTTAATTATAATAATTTAATATTAATTAATTTTATAGATCATTTTAATTTTCAAATTTTTTAACTTTTTTCTTTCTTATAGATCATTATATTATTTTATTACTTTTCTGATATTTTAATTTTTATTAAATTAATCCTATAATTTATATAATATTATATTTTTTTTATATTTCTTATATAAATAATAATACAATTTCATTATTTCTACTAATTTTCTTTTATATATTATATATTTTATAAATATTTTATAATTTTATTTATTTGAATTTTTATGTAATCTTTTTGTATATTTATAAGTTTTCTTTTTTTTTAGATTTAATTATTATTTTATATTTTTTCTTATTTTATGGTAAATTATTTATCCTTTTTATTTTAGTAATTAATTCTTTTATGTTTTATATTTATTTATATTCTATATTATAAAATTTTAGTAATTATTTATTCTATATATTCTTTATTTAATTAGTAATTTTCTAATCATTAATATTATAACTAGTATTTTATAAAATTAGATCAGATTAGATTTTATTTAAATTTGATTTGATCTGATTTTTATTTTTATAAATCTAATCTAAATCTGAATCTGACAGATCAGTTTAAATTTAGATCTACCTTATTTCTCTAAAAATAAATACTCCCAAAAAATAAGCACTATCTTATTTTTTTAATATCTAAAAATAAGCACTATCACATTTTTAGTATCCAAAAATAAAATCAATGCTAAAATAAATCTGATTTATTAAAATATTGCTATCAATATTTTTTCATCATTATTAATGATCGCTATCATTATTACTATTATTATTATTATTGCTACTACTATTAATATTTACTACTAATATACCTAAAATTATCATTAAATTATATTCACTTTCATAAAACTTTATTTTAATAGATTCTTTTATATGACCCCTAAATGAAATGAGTTACAAATATAAAGTATTTAACATTTTTACATAGCTTCTAAGATTGAAATTTAGCAATTTTATTAGTATCCAAAATTAAGTATTTTTATAGTAAAAAAAAGGTGCTTAATTTCAGAGACATATAGTAATTTAAATTTGATAAATTGAATCTTAAATCTGAATCTAATAGATCAGTTAAAATTCAAATTTAATATGATTCAAATTTAGCTTTAAAAGAAATCTAAAAAGTTTTTTTATTAAAGAAAATAAATTTTCAGTATTTTAATTATACGATAATGAATTATTCAAATAGAACAATAATAAATCTTTAAAAAGAATAATAATAAATCATTTTAATTAAATGATAATATATTATTCTAAAAAAATAATAATGATTTATTTTTTCTTAAATGATAACAAATTATTTAATTAGAATATGGAAGTGTTTCTAGGAAAATCAGGTTCTGAGAAATTTTTAACTAAAATTAAGAGCTTAATATATTTTAATCTAATTACATCAAAAAATAAAATGCAATAAAAATCTTAATTTTGCTAAAAAATTCCCAGAACCTGACTTTTCTAGCAATCTACTCATATAGTCTGATCTCTATATAGTCATACAATTGATTTCGTCAAAATCGGTAATTATATAAAGGTGTGACTATAAAAAGGTTACCTTATATAATTATAACTATATTATAATCAAATATATAGTAATTATTTAGAGGTTAAATTAGTATTGTTAAGCTTTATAAGTAAAACTTATCATAATATTTTATTTATTATTTAACTAATATATTATTTTAATAAGTCATATGAAAAAAAAATATTATCAGATTACATAATTTCCTATTTAATTTTTATGGCTGCTAAAAAAATTAGTGATTGAAGCTTGCTTTTAAGATTGAACTTCAAGCTGCCTTACTACATTTAAGTATTTTTTAAAAAATATAACTATCTTCAATGCTAAATTCATCTATTTGCTGTTGATCAAAAAATGTAATCCAAGTTTGTAAAGATTTGAGAGTCTCATTTGGAGATATTAATATTGGTTCTTTTTCAGAATCATTATTAGTATCATCTTCTTTATGTATTTCCTTTTGAACTAATTGTATAATATCATTATAATTTAGAATATCTTTAGTTAGAATAGCTTTTAATTCATAAAAATAATCAATCAATGCATTTTTAATAAAGCATTATAAGAATCATCATTGAGTTTTTCAATTTCTTCTATTATTTGATTAATCTTTACTTCTTTATAATCTACTGAACTTTGTTAGATTTGTGTTATATTATCTATATTTTCATTAGTTAAAAAAAGTAGAATTCTGGTCTTTTTCTAATAGTTGTGAATAATTTCTTCAGTTACTTACTTCTATGCATCTACTAAATAACTAATTACTTCTTTAATATTGATTTTCTCTTTATTAATACCTTTTTTATCTTCAAATAGGTTTAACATGTGATGACAAAAATTCCTCTTATAATAGTTTTTAAAGCTTGCAATAATCTTAACATTAAGTAGTTAAAAATGGTTTATAGTATTAGGAAGTAAAAAGGTCACTTCAATATAAGTTAATTAAAGTTGAGAGATATTAAGTTTATCCTTTGATTTATTGCTATGACCTCTATTATGATCTCTACTATAATCTCTAGATTTATGATTACTTGATTTATTATCACGGCCTTTACCATAACT